GCAACAAAGCATGACTTACCACCCGTATCTCTACATGAAGACATTGGCGCTAGCTGTAGCACAGCAATGCATAGCGCTATGCAAAGCACTGTACAGTTGGATATAGATACCGAAGCAGGTGAAGATATTCACCACAGTATTGGAGTTCCTGTTGAGGGAGAAACTGTTGAACATGATTCTTCATTAGCAAAAGAAGATATTCCAGAAGTAGTTGGCCTTAAGGAGGGCATGTCTGACACAGTTGATGATAAAATGTGGTTTATCAAACCAAAATCTGAAAATTTGGATTCTTTCCTATTGTTTCATCCATGTCAACCAGTTATCCTTTCTTTAAATTCAACAAAGTTATATCAGAGGAGGGATGGAAAGAAGCGTCACTGGTTGACTTATTCACATGGACATGGTGCCTTTTTCTGCATGGTGTGTCTAGCTTTCAGCAAAAAGACAGACGACAGTGCTTTTATTGATGGTTGCTTTGATGAAAAGCACATGTACCAAAGAATTGAAGAGCACGAAAGAAGCAACCTCCACAATAATAGCTCTGAATCCCTTTTGATGAGGTCAAAGAATATGGACATATCTAGTCATTTCTTTGAGAAACAAACAACAGCCAGAAAAGAGGAAGTGAAGAGAAAACGTGCCATTCTAGAGAGGATAATTGAAACCATAAAGCTGATTGGAAAAAGAGGCCTAAGCTATCGGGCAACAGCTGAAGCAGCATATACGTTAGATAATGAAAAGTTGGACCATGGAAACTTCCTAGAGATTTTGCTACTCTTAAGCAAGTTTGATCCCTTGCTGAAAAATCACCTTGATACAGTTATTAAAAAAAGTAAAAAGCAGCATCAAAGTGCAACAAGTAGCAAAGGACGTGGTGGCTTTGTTACATTAATTTCAAAAACTACAGTCAACAATATCATCTGTGTAATTTCAGCACTTTTGAAAAAAGGTATTGCCCAAGAGATCAGAGATGCCGGCATGTTCTCAATACAGCTCGATACAACACAGGATATAAACGTCTCAGACCAGTGTTCAATAATAATTCGGTATGTCACAGATGTGGTCCATGAACGTCTGGTTGCTGTGGTAAATTGCATATCCACGACAGGGAAGGCTTTGTGTGAACTTGTTTGCAATGTATTGGAATCCATGGAAATTGAGGTTACGAACTGTGTTGGGAACTCAACTGATGGAGCTTCGAATATGCAGGGTCAGTACAACGGATTCAGCACATGGCTGAGTAGTAAAGCACCTGGCCAGATTCATGTGTGGTGCTATGCACATGTACTAAATTTGGTGATGATGGATGTCACAAAGATATCTGTTCAGGCAATATTGTTGTTCGGCTTGTTAAACTCCTGTGCTGTATTTATCCGCGAATCCTACCTTCGGATGAATGTATGGCGTGAAAAGTCTCAGGAAGAAAGATTTAGATCTCTTTCTGTGATTGGAGAAACAAGATGGTGGTCTAGAGATGCAGCACTTACAAAGGTGTTTGGTTCGTTTAATGATCCAAGTCAAGCCTTGTATGTAGATTTGATCCAGACCATGGCAGAAATATCACGTTCTGATCATTTTAATGCTGACATCAGATACAAGGCTGGAACTTACTTAGAATCCCTCAAAAAATTCCACACACTTATAATGGCAGAGCTGTACTTATTTGTTTTCAAGAATACCACTCCACTATCCTTGTACCTGCAAACACATGGTATGGATGTATTGCAGGCATACCGAATGGTGACAGAAACAGTAAACAACTTGCAAGCACATGATCGTGATTCACAAATGATTATAGATGCTGCAAAGAAGTTTGCAGTCTGGGCAAACAGCAAGTTGGATACAACCAGCTGCAAAGTTTTGCTTGAGGAAGACTTTCCATCACCTCGAAGAATACAACGTAAGAAAAGAATGGCTGGTGAGCTTGCAGTAGATGAACCAATTCTGTTAGCAAGTGACCAGTTCCGGGTGGAGGTGTACAATGTGACCTTGGACAAGATCATTAATAGTCTGCATAGCCGATTTACAACACATGGTCAGTTATTTGCAGATTTGGCATGTTTAGATCCCCAAAATTTTGAAGATATTTTACTAGACCTTCCCAGCAGTGCATTAGAAAGACTGAGTAGCCTTGTTATTAAATTTGACTCCAATGCAACGAAAGAGAAACTGCGAAGTGAGCTACTTGATTTTGCATCAAAGTGGCAAAGATTGAAAATGTCACTTGATGAAGAATATATTGATGTGAACAATGAAGGTCAAGATGAAGACACCATCCATTCTCATCTTATCTCTGAAACTGAGGAACAGCCATACTCCAATGTTGGTGATAAAAGTGGAAAGTGCAAAACTTGTAAGAGCTGTATAGCCTGCTGCTACAATGTATTATTGCGTTACAACTTTTACAGTCTAACGTATAGTTCACTTTTTAATGCATACAAATTGACACTGACACTTTCCTCTTCGCAAGTAGCATGTGAGAGGTCTTTTTCAAAACTTAAATACATCTTGAACAGACTGAGAAATTCCCTCTCTCAAACACATTTGGAGGCCTTTATGCTAATGTCAGTGGAGAAAGAGGCCTTGATTGGACTAAGCAACGAAACCATCATTGATGTTTTGGCTTCAAAAAGCAGCTTGCTACAAGAGATGTTGCTTACATAACTTACAAGCATGTCAGTAAATTACAATGTTGGTCAATATTTATTTTTCTAGATTTTGACTGGATTAGTTTTTTTTTGTTTTTTTTAAGTTCTTTTAAAAGTTGTTACATATTTTATCCAATAAAACTTTAGAAAACAGTTTACACATTGCAACCTCCTAAAGCAGGCGCTGTCCAACATGCACCCTCCCCAGATGTTACTGAACTACAACTCCCATAATTCCCTGGCCATTTGTTTCATTAAAAGAATCATGGTAGTTGTAGTTAGCAACATCTGGGGGAGCACAGGTTAGACAGGCATGTCCTAAAGGGTAATGAGCCCTGTTTTTATCTACTGTTAAACTAATTTACTTGTTTTAAAGCACTTTTTTGAGTAATGTTTGTACATTACATTTTGAAAACTGTTGGTTTGCTTGCCATGGTACTGGTACAATTTTCCTGTTCTAAAATTGGAGTAGAAAGCTAGTCAGCAATATGTTTCAAGGTATTTAAACTTTATTGAATTCCTAAGGTTTTCGCACGTTTATTATAACTGTTAAAATATTTAATTACTGTCTAGTATAACATTTGCACTTTTTGTTACCTCTAAAAGTTTATTTGCATTTACTACTGTTTTGTGTGTTTATGAGTAATTTATATATGTTAAGTTAATAAATTTTGGAAACCATTTGTGTTTTCTATACTTTGAAGTAAAGCTCTTTGATTATTCTTTATTTGGACAATTTTGATGGGGCAGACACAATTGCATGGGATAATGGTCTACTATGATATTTGGAACAATGGGGGTTCTACATAAAGAGCTATTGTGGGGCAAAGTTCTAAATGTAATCTAATCACCCTAGCAATAAATGGTCTACTCTTGATGATTGCTCCACGTTTACACTTTTCTTACGCTTTATGTATAAGGCCTTGTGTGCTTTTATATCTCTTATCTATAAATAATTCACTCTTCAAATGTGCTTTAAAATGCATGATTTTACCTTTTATGAACAAGAAAATGACGTTGTGCCGGTATAATTACGCAATGCTATGGGGCTGGGATGGAATTTTTTCCAGGGCTGGTTTTCATACCCAGTCCGGCCCTGTGTAATAACCTCAGGGACAGTCAAATCTTTATTCAATCTAAAATCTTTTAAGAGATCTATGGCAATATACCTCAGCATAGAATGCACCTGTCATGGTTGAATATATTTATTACCGGTTATGTATTAAATATATATATATATATATATATATATATATATATATATGTTTATTGTAATATTGTATCCTATTGTAACAATGCAATGTTTTGTGGACCCAAGACATACTTGAAAATGAGAGAAATCTCAATGTATCTATCCTGTTAAAATAGATTTTTATAAATACATTTTGCATGCACGGCACTTTTGAGATTTCCCAAGAGTGGCTTGATGATATTAAGGTCAGAAAACTGTGATGGCCACTCCAGAACCTTCAACTTTTTCTGCTGTAACCACTGGAGGATCGACTTGGCCTTGTGCTTAGGGTCATTGTCATGCTGGAAAGTCCAAGAGCATCCCATGTGAAGCCTTCGTGCAGAAGAATGCAAATCGTCTGATAACATGCTGCATTCATCTTGCAATCAATTTTTACAATATTCCCCATGCCTTTAGAGCTCACACACCCCAAAACATGAGTGAGCCACCACCATGCTTCACAGTGGGGATAGTATTCTTTTCTCTAAAGGACTTGTTGACCCCTCTCCAAACATAGTGATTATAACCATAAAGCTCTGTCACTATGTCTTGTCACTCCAAATTAGTGTGTCAGAAGCTGTGAGGCATGTCAAGATGTTGTCGGGCATATTGTAACTGGGTTTTTTGTTTTGTTTTGTTTTTTTGTGGCATTGGTGCAGTAAAGGCTTCTTTCTGGCAACTCGACCATGCAGCTCATTTTTGTTTAACTATCATCATATTGTATTCCTTGAAACAACCACACCGTCTTTTTCTAGAGCAGCCTGTATTTCTCCTGAGGTTACCTGTGGGTTTTTCTTTGTATCCCCAACAATTCTTCTGGCAGTTGTGGCTGAAATCTTTCTTGATCTACCTGACTTTGGCTTGGTTTTAAGAGATCCCCGAATTTTCCACTTCTTAAGTGATTGAACAGTAGTGAATGGCATTTTCAAGGCATTGGATATCTTTTTATTTCCTTTTCCATCTCTATAAAGTTCCTTGAACGCAGGTCTTTTGATAGTTCTTTTCTGCTCCCCATGGCTCAGTATCTAGCTTGCTCAGTGCATCCACGTGAGATAACAGCACATTGACTATTTATACACACACTAATTGCAATTTAAAAAGCCACATGTGTGGGAAATTAAACTTTAATTGCCATTTTAACCTGTGTGTTTGTAACAAGGTCAAACATTCAAGGATATGTAAACTTTTGATTAGGGCTATTTGGGTGATTTCTGTTATCATTATGATTTAATACAGAGCCAAACAAGTATGTGACAATAAATGGCTTAATATGATCACTATCCTTCAATTATTTTATTTTTATTTTTTTGCAAAAAACAGGAATCGGGCCTTAGCCGCATTAAGCAAATGGCATAAGATGGATTTCTTGTAGGCCGACATAGGTTTTGAAGACATGTAGCAGAGCAAGCTCCCCCGACTACTCAACCAAATTCTCAAGGATATCAGTCATCTCGACCTGTACCATGTCCAAAAAGGTGTCATGGCACGGCTGAGTACTCACCTGCCCCTGGGCGCCTGCGCCGCCCTTGCGGGTCTGCGGCGAGCACATCATTGCGGCAAGATTGCGTCTGCCATGCGGACCCGGCATTCTGCACAGGGAGAGCTGCAGATCCATAGGGGAGGATCAGTTCAGGGACTATGGTGTAAAGCAAGATGGCACCGAGTCCCTGATCTCTTTATATAACCCCTGTGTGCTCAACCTACTGGTGGGAGGTGGCCGGTCATGTGATCCCAGCCAGCTATTTAAACCCAGCACACCTTCCAGTCAGTGCTTGGTTATTTTTCTTATCGCTTTATATCTGCCTATTGCCCTAATTTCCAGCTTATGGATGATTGCTCCCGCCTGCTCCCTGACCTAACTCCAGATAGACTGACTACTTCTGCCTGCTGCCTGACTGCAATTTTCGTTTACTTTTCCTGCTCCCTAGAATTCTTATATTCATTAAAGGCCTCCGCGCCACCACATACCCTTTGGGACCCTGTCTCCACTCCCAGGTGCTCCTAAGGATCGTGATAGTAAGGGAGTGCTGTTCCACTGCAGTTGGGTTCCATCAGCTCCACGAATACTCAGGTGGGTGTGACAAAAGGGGACAATTTCCAGTAATTCCCACCATATATGCCTCTATTAGCATGGCATCTCCAGCAGGTGGGAAGCACACTAGGAAAGATCCTGTGGAGAAGGGTCGGCGCCCTATACCAGAGCAATATTAGTTTCCTGGTACTGTGAGCTTATAGAGCTCTTGTGTTGCCACAACAGCACCTTCTGTAGCCGAAAAAGATTTACCAATTAGTTCTTCCCATTGGCTTTTGAACTTATTCTTCACGTGGCTATTTCCAGCCAAGAAATGTTGATAAAGCCTCGAAACTGCCTTCTCATCACCGAACCCCGCAAGCAAAGCTTCTCCAACTACGTGAGGCTCTTATGCAGTTTATCCCTCTATGGTAACGTCCGAATGCTGACCATCCCACAACGCCCTATGAATATGGATAAAGTCACCTTCCCCCAGGGACTGCCAGGCCAAAGGTGGTAACCCCCCCACCAAGTTTGACGATATCAGATACTGGTAAGAGGTGGCTAGGTGTAGGTGAAACATGAGGCAGTTCATGGACTGCCCGCCACGTGCGGAGCATTTGTGAAACTGGGGCCGTCTTATCCCTGTGTTACATGACCTCAGATTTCCCCCAGTCACACTGTCTATGACACAGGAGCTCCCATTCCACTCCTGTCCAATGTTACCCATTGTTTTTGCGGGGATAGCAGATGCCAATCCAATATCTGTTTTTAAGACAGTGGCCTGATATTTTTTAAAGTCAAACCCCCCCTATGTCTAGGTAAACCAAGCAAATCAGGGCGCAGATGGGAAAGTCCTCCCACCAAACATATCCAATCACCGCTGACTTCAAGGAGGAGAAAAAAGTAGCCCGTGGGGTGAGTGGGATTGTCTGGAAGAGGTTAACACCTGTGGGAGCACGTTCATTTTAACTACCACCACCCTACCATGGGGTCATTTCCGCAGATCCGTTAATATCGTCTTTAATAGCAGAAGAAAATTGCATTGATATAAATCTTGCGGGTCCGTGGTTATCCAAACTCTTTGATATTTAATTTTACTGTAGCATCAATGGAACGGAAATACCGTATCTAGTGCTGCTTGGTCGTTTGCAGGAAACATGGCGTTCAGTACTTTGCATTTCGACAGATTGCATTTGAATCCAGATAACATGCCAAACTTCTTGAATTTCGACAAGAGACAGGGCAATGTGATCCTCGGATTCGTCATAAAGAGGTCATCTGCATAAGCAGCGACCTTATGTTCCACCCCCTGCAATGCATATACCTGAATATCTGCATTTTGGCAGAGCGCCTGAAGTATGGGCTTCTAAGGACATGGCAAAAAGCATCTGAGAGAGCGGGTAACCCTGAAGCGTCCCGTTGCGAAAGTTAAAACCATCAGTCAGAGCTCCATTCACTCTCACAGAAGTGTGTGGTTTGCTGTATAGTTATTATTATTATTATTTATTATTATTTATAAAATATTTTACCAGGAAAGATACATTGAGATTTCTCTCGTTTTCAAGTATGTCCTGGGTCCACAAATCATTGCATTGTTACATTAGGTACAACAAAATACAAAAACAATATTAATACACAATATATACAAAATTTAACATAGAACAGGCAGGAAATATATAATCAACCATGACACGTGCATTCTGTTTTGAGGTATGTAGAGAGGGATCTCTTAAATGACTTTAGGCTTAGGGAAGATTTTAAATTGTGCGGG